TCCAGTGGGAGTTCCGCACTGCCAACAGTAGTGTGAGCATCTGGCAGCCTTGTGCTCAATCGAGGCCCTGAAGTAGACAATTAATTCCCATCTTCAAGGCTGTCAGTCCACTGGCATCTGATTAAACCAGCATCAGGAGAGGCCCACGGCTAGTGCCACACTCACACACGAGGCCTGGTAGGCCTAGTTTGGGGAAAGTGGGGTCTCCCTCCTCAATGGGTACCACTCCTTGGCCCAATAAGTAGCATCCAGACCCAGCAGCCCCCGTTTCCCCTAATCCGACTCTTCCCCAGGAGGTCACGTGGGATCCTACCTTGTCAAAGTGCAAGCCCCAGAGAGGGAAGGAAGCAAGGACTGTCCTCCACAGTTGGACGAGTGACGAGTCACAGATTTACCTAAAGGTCCATTGCCCAACACCCTCCAAAGAGTTCTGAGGGAGATGAGGAGTGGAGGTCACAGTGACAAAAGGTGCAGTTGGTGATTTCACAAAATCACAGAATTGTTACAATGCAGAGGGAGGCCATTTACCCCATCATGCATGCAATTGTCCTGTTACCTAGTGCCTATCTCCTGCTTTTTTCCTGTTTCTCTGCAAACCCCATTTCTATACAAATAACCATCCAATGCACTCTTGAATGTCTCAACTGAACCTGTCACCACTGCAGTTTCAGGCAGTGCATGGCTCTCTGTTCTCACATCATCCCTGCCTCACGTGCACATCGTTTCAAATCTATGCCCTCTCTTTCTTGTTCCTTTTACGAGTAGGAACGGTTTCTCCCTATCTACTCTGTCCAGCCCGCTCATGATTTTGAAACCTCCATCAAATCTCCCTGAGCTGCCTTCTCTCTAAAGAGAGCAGTCCCAACTTCTTCAATCTATGCTCATAATTGAAGTTTCTCATTTGTGGAACCATTCTTATTAATCATTTCTGCACTGTCTCCAGTGCGTCCGTATCTTTCCTACAATGCCATGGGTTCCTTGGAATAAGGAGGATACTTGCTATGAGTCCCAGAATAAGAGAGAAAAAAATTTAAAACAGGGAAAGAGGGGGAGGCTGTGAGAGATGAGGGTGAAGTGAGAGAAAGGTAAAGGAAGTGGAAGACACAAAATCACAACATTTGTGAGTTAATTAATGGTCGGAAGAATTCTGAACAGAGGATTTGTAGAGGTGAAGATGGATTTGAGAATCTAACAGAGGAATGTTCGGTTGGATTACAAATGGGTAATAGTTGCAGTGGGTTTTGTGAAGAGTGGGTGGGTGATGATTATGTTGCACAGCACAGAGACCATGTAGCTCAACATGTATGTGACATTCCTGCCCTGACCTTCCCTCATGGCCAACTTCACTCTCCCCAATTGTTCGTCCAATCCCCTGTTGAAAGTACAGGGAAGTCTCTGTTACCCGACGTTCTTAGAGTTGGGGGGGGATGGTGGTAGTAGTTCTGGTGAAGCTGGCTAACCGACGGTTCTGTTACACAGGACACAAGGCAAGGCTCTATCTTTGCGGCAGGTGAAGTGTCGCAAGGAGCATCCAGGTAGTGAAGGGATCCCAGCACAGCCCGGCACCACGATATAACCACCACAGACAAGGACCAGGCGGGAATCATGACCTTTAGGTGCACTTTGATAAATGAATTAAGTGGTCAGTCTCACTAACAGCTGCTCCAAGTGGCACATAATATCTTTGTCCAGGTACAATTCCCAAAATTGACCCAATAAATTAATAACGTTCATGTAAAGCCTAAGAACAATGCCTGAAGATTTACAACACGCTGCTATTATTATTCTTTCTTGTTAAAGAGAAATGTCTTGACCAGCTTTTAAAAGAAATTGGATTGTCAGAAATTCCAGTTGGCATGGTAACTCTGCTTTCAAACCAGTTTCCATTGTCTTCTCAGAATCCAGATCTCTGCAACTCAAGGTGTTAAAAAAGATTCTCCTTATCTATTTTTACTTTTGCCAATGCTTTTAAATCAATATTTTGGTTATCAACCTACTTGCCACTGGAGCCTAGTTCTCCTTATTTATGTGTTCAAAGCTTTTTGTAATTTTGAATGCTGGTAGATTATCCCTTAAATTTCTCTATTGGAATGAGAATAATCCCAGTTTCTCCACCGTCTCTCCATGTTATTGAAATCCGTCATCTCCAGTATTGTTCCAATATATCTACCACTACATGGTCTTTGAAGATTTGACATCCTTCTTAAAGCACGGTGCCCAGAATTGGGCATTTTAGTTAGCTGCTCCCTGATGAGTGATTTATAAAGATTTCCAATTTCTATGCTACTGCTTACGAAAAAAATCGAGGGTCGTGGAAGTTTTTTTTTAAAATCACTTATCAACTCCTGCCTCCTTTGATAAGATATTTGTACATTGAAGAGAAGGCGAGGGAATGGAAACCGATGGAGATGAATGTCACAAACTGCTAACAAGGGGATAACGCATGAGAGGATGTCTCGTGACACCAGTGGGTGCATGCCCACTTTAGGCCAAAGGCAACAACAGAACGCTGAGCGATATCGTCACCTGGTACAGATGTGCTAAAAAGGAAGAGCCCCTGGAGCTAGAAATTGGTACCCAAAGGGTGCCCCAGAGCGTTTTCCTTGGTTGTATGTTAGTTGTTGACTGAGATGTCCTCCCTCAGCAAGGGAAGATGTCCCCCCAAGGTTTAGGAATGCCCAGGCATTTACACAGAGATGCAGTCACACTGGCTAAAAGCATTGTGATGCATTAAACCATGACTTCAGCACAGATGGAGACAGAGCTACAAACTGGTGAGAGACAAATTCAAGACTGATCAATCTTCACAGTGACCTCTGGGACTAGAGTTTCTTGCAACTCTCCTGGATAGCCCCGGAGCCTCCAAAAATTGAAGATTAATCTCCGACAAGTAACACGCTGGGTAAAGGACATTTGAAATTGTTCCTCTTCTCTAACATTATATTTCTACACCTTTATTTCTTGAGTGGCAGAACCTCCCGAGGTGTGTAATTGACTAGCCCTAACCTTAATTCATCAAGATAATGGGATTTGGAAGCTCTGCCATTGGCCAACAAGCGATGGATGGGCAAGTCAGGTGCCCAATGAGGCAATGAAGAAGTGTGAATTCAGGGCAGGAGGTCTTGTGATGAAATTTCCAGAAATATATCTAACTAGAGCTGGTGAGCCCAGCAAGGTGGAGGTGGAAGCATGTGACAGGAGCCAAATATTTTGATATTGCATTTGAAGAGACACGGGTCACCACAGAAGATAACCAATGAACCAAATTCCACTGTCACCCCGATTCCTGACTTCTATTTAATGATTAGTCCTTAGGGCCTCACCTGAGAGGTGACTTTGGAGGACATTGCCAGGAATCGAGGACTCCAGCCATGTGGAAAAATTGTAAATATAGAATTGTTTTCTTTTGACCAAGAGAGGGCTGAGAAGGGATTAATTCAATAGTATTTTGAAGATTCCCGGTTGAGTGAACAGCAAGAACCTATTATTCGGAGCAGGGTGGTCAGTCACCAGGAGATTTCAATTTAAAGTGACTCTAGGAATGATAAGAGACTGGAAGTATTTTCACTCAGAGAATGATGGGGTTGGGTTGGCACGGTGGAGGGAGTTCTGGACCTCTCTGTCTGAAAGGATGGTAAAGGCAGGAACCATTCAAGGCAGTTGTAAAACACTTGGATATGCACTTTGGAGTGCTGCAGCCTGCAGTGCGGTGGGCCAAGAGCTGAAAGAATTGAATTAGAGCTGCTACAGACACAGAGGAAGGGTTAAAATGGCCTCTCCTGGGCTGGCACGCTTTCTCACTTTCTACATCTGCTTCTCCCCCACCCATCACCCTTGCAACACGCGCAGCAGGTCCTCAGGTAGGGGTGAGGGTGGCGAGTATCTGAATGAGGAGGCACAATTGGAAAATACTTTTAAGAGCACATCTGCATCCACCATGTTCTTATACTCAGTGACTAGGGGAATGCACTGGATGTTCACCAACGTATCCCTGGAGTGACTGGATCACACAATGACAAGGGATAGAAAGGGAAAACAAGGCAAAAGGTGGTAATGATTGAAAGTTTCTGTCGATGATTGATGTTTTGTCACATTCCGTCACATTTAATGGGCCATTTAATATTCGCTGCTCAACCCACACTGTACTATATGGACAGCGGTCTCATTTTCATTCTGAGTGAAAGCACCATTGGATTTTATTTCTTCAATCATTTCAAAGCCTCCAAGTTGCGCTGTGCTACTTTGCCAGGTCACTGTTGGGTTTGAGCCTTACCCTTCCTCTGAAATTGTTCCCTGACTCTGACTTTGTCCTTTGCAGTGGACCTCCATTGCTATGATTCTACCCTGAACTTTGGTCTGCCCCTCAGATCCTGGATCCTTGCCCCCTTAACCTCAGCTCATCTTGATGTCTTTTACCATCCTCTTTTCCTCATCTCCCAGGCCTACATCCTCCCCCTGGGCCTATCTTGGGGTCCAGACACAGCACCATTTGGGCCCAAATCACCTACTCAGACAGCGTCTTTCCCCCCAGGATCTTACTCTTCTCTCAGGCACATCCGAACCCCTCCCAAAGGCAACAGCCTCTCCCACATCCTCCCCCAGAAACCTGTACCTTCCCCCTGTGGCCCACAACCAACCCTGGGGACTATACACTCTCTGGAGTCCACACACTACCCTTGGGCCCTTGACCTTGCCCTCCCCTGAGTACCACATCCTCCTGTTTACAACACCCTATCCTAGAGTTTACATGCTCCTCATATTTGCAAATATGCCTGTGTCAATACCTTTAAGTAATGACTCAATATGTCACCAAGCTGCCCTGTGATTTGGAGTTAACTGAGGTTTACTGTTTAAAGTCTAGAGTATTCAGATGGGAAGATGTGTATAAACAAACTCCCATCTAAGCTGCTGCATGCTGCATGTTTAGAGTGAGTTAACTTTTTCGTCCTTCTTTGTCTCTCTCTCTCTTTCCCCTCCCTGTTAATTTTCATGCTTGCTAGTTACCCCATATGTGATGGCTACTATAGTATGGATTTGCCTGGGTAAGGAAAACCAAGCAGCGCTTTCAGTTCAGAGCTTGTATTCTTCGTAATCTGTCTGCTAGGACATCGTTTACTGCACAGACTGGATCTAGCTTGATGACTGACCATCATTAGTGACCAGTCTCCTGTCCCTAGTTGCCCAGTGGTTGACTGGATGACCCATTCACAGTCACTGTACCATGACAACCAACTGTGTCAGACCCCCTTGAACTACCTATTAAAGCACCCGAAAGGCATGGGACCCAGCAACACCAGTAAAGGTGGTCTGCCGAGTTTGCATGTGACCCAGTGGCACCAGGACAAGTGACTCTGACACTGACCGTATGACCCAGTGACACCAGGACATGGCCCATTGGCACTGAACGTGTGACCCAGTGACATTGAATGTGACCCATTGATGTGTCATCACATGATTCAGTGACATCTGGATACCTGACCTCATGAGTTGTGAACAAATGACCCAGTGGCACTGAACATGTGACCCAATACTATGTGAACACATGACCCTGGGACCCCTGGATAACCTGAGCCTGTGCCTCCCACATTGCCTAGTGACGTCTGCAACCACTGAATGCCCAGTGGCTAGGGCCCAGAATCTGGATCCAAAATTGTGTGTGAGTCTGTTTCGAACACATCCTTCAGGAGATAATTTCAACCAAAAAGCAGATTCTCCTGTCAGTAATGCGATGCTGTCTGAGCTTTGTGTTTCCAGGATTCTATTGCAAGGAGTATGTGCTGGTGCTGGCTGTTATTCCGATGAGTAGTTAAAGACTTATGGGCACGGGTCATTAAACAACCACATGCTTCATGATCCTTGCTTTCAACTAGTCTGTCATTAATAGGGGCCCCTCAATGGCAGAACACCTCTCTACTGCTCTGCTCTCTACACCAAAGGCAGACAGGAATCCCCTGCCAGAATGAAAGTGCCTTAAATTGGTCTTATGAATTATTGGGGCTGTTGTCAAAGGGGTATCCAGCAAAGGGAGTACCATTGAAACCATTGGCAAATTGAGCTAGACATGAATTTCCAAATGATAGGTCACTCCACATGTGACCCAGTGAAATACGCTGGCAACATGGAGGGTAGGAAGTCACATAAGAGCATGGCAGAACGTTGAGTTACACAGATCTACCTCCTGCTATCCTGACCTCCCCCTGCTGAGAAACCATTCCCGTCTTTGGATAATTCTTCATTTCAGAAGGATTGTTGACCTCCCTGGCTGCTCTCACATCTTTCATTAAACCCACCTGTTATAACACACGGCACATGCCTGGAGCAGATGGGACCTGAACCCAGACCTTCTGGCTTAGAGGTAGGGACATTACTGTTACGCCACAGAGCCTGGTCTCCAACATCATGTCCTCACTTTCGCAAAGACCATTGACTGCTTCTATTTCCACTTGACACCATACCCCTCCCATGCCCCAAACAATCTTAACCCATTGTACATGAAACCCTCCTCTGTGCCTTTGTTACCTCCTGTCTCTCTGCCCCAGTATTCTCCTGGGCAGTCACCAAATTCCACTCTCCATAAACCTCAATCCTTATGAAACTCTGCTGCCCATTGCCTACCTTGCAGCCACTCCCCCACTCACCACCTGTTCCCCAGTACCTAAAAACTTAAAACTCTCACCCTATGTTTAAATCTCTCCATGGTCTTGAGCCTCCCTATCTCTGTATCTGCTCCACTTTTGCAACTCTCAGTGACCTCACAATTCCTTGAAAGTTGATTTCTCATGAGCCGCCCCCCTCTCCCTTCACCCTATCAATAGGATCCATGCCTTTAATTCCCTACCCCCAATATACTGTCCCTCAATACCTCCACTTCTCTCTGCTTCATTAAAGTCCATAAAGCACACCACTTTAACTGCTTATATGGCTACCTCTTCCAGTCTGTCTGTTTCCCTGCATCCAATCTGTCCCTTATCCTGCATGTAACATTTTAGAGTATTCATCTATGCTAAAAGTTGAACCAACAGGTCATTCCCAGTCTATGATAAACCAGGTTCAAGTGTGTATTCACACCTGTGTAGAAATTAAAGATACTTTTATGTTGAGTTTTTGTCACCAATTCTTGGCCCACCGTTGGCCAGGGCCTCCTAGTAGATATAACAAATACCCAAGGCATGGTCACCTCCAAGAACCATTGTTGATATAACTGAGGCTGTGACCTTTGTGAAGCCAGCCTGTTTAATCTGGAGTGGCCAGTGCAATCCTCGCATTGGGACTTGCAGCTTTAATGTTTAAAACAGAGGTCACCATGGGCTTCTGCAGTGAGGAGAGACACAAGTGGTGGTGCATTTACCCAGAAAGTCACCACACCTCAGGCAAGGAGTTAGGTTCAGGAGAAAACAGGGCCTTCATGATGACTGCAGCCAAAACAGAAACTGAACTCACATTGTTGGCATCACTCAGCATTACAAACCAGCTGACTGAGCTAAACCAACCTTGACTGTAGGCCCAGTGTGAAGTCAGCTTCAGCTAACAACATCTTGGGAACAGGAGGGGGCCATTCAGCCCCTGAAGCTTAACCCAACATTCAGTTAGATCTTGGCTGACCAACAGTATCCTTATTCCATTTGCCTTGGATCAGCACCCCTTGTGGACTTTGATGTAATTTTCCTTTGTGTGAGCTGAGTTTGGGATTAAAAGGCGAAAAGTGCACTGAGAAAAAAAGGCTAGTGAAGCAACAAGAGACACATGAAGCATCTGGAGCTAATATTGAACTTTAGTATTTCATGCATGTGTTGTACATTAGTCGAACTGTTTTGAAATTGCAAGGGCTGGCTTTTTTCTAAAACTGTAAGTATCTGGGGCTATCTTGATTCCTTAAGGCTTTTATTTAGCATAGAAACTGATAAAACTGATCGAATAACACAAATCTTAACAGCACTAAAAGCCAGTGATTCAACCCAGCCAGAATTTATTCTCTACGTGAGCTTCCTCTGCTCTTAATCTCCTCACCAACCTCCGCATCCAGCACATCATCCTCTTCCACTTCCACCACCCAACACCAAAGAGATATTTCCCTCCCCACCTCTATCTGCCTTTTGAAGTCACTCTGCAACTCCCTCGTCCGCTGCACACTCCCCACCAACGCCACCACTCCCGGCACCTCTCCCTGCAACTGCAGGAGGTGCTACATCTGCCCCTACACCTCCCCTCTCACCTCTATACAAGGCCCCAGACAAACTTTCCAAATCCGATAGGGATTCACCTGTACATTCTCCAACCTGGTCTATTGTATCCATTGATCCCAATGTGGTCTCCTCTACATTGGCGAGACCAAGCGCAGACTCGGGAACTAATTTGCGGAGCATCTGCACTCTGTATGCTATAATCAATAACACCTTCCAGTCACTAACAGTTTTAACTGCCCCTCCCAATTTCTGGGTGATATGCCCATCCTGGGTCTCCTCCAGTGTCACAGTGAGACCACATGCAAAGTGGAGGAACAGCACCTCATATTCCGCCTCGGGAGCCTACAACTCAATGGTCTCAATGTGGACTTTCAAAATCTCCCTACGCCCGGCCTCATCCCATGTCCAACCCTCCCTCTCATCCCCACCTCCTTGACCTGACACTACCTGTCCATCATTTTTCCCACCTATACGCCCCACCCTTCCCACTGATCAATCCCCACTCCCCGCTACCTGCATCCATCTATCACCATCCTACCTACAGTCCCCCAGCCCCATTCCTCCTCCTTGTATTTACTTCCCAGCTCCCTTCCCCCTCCCCAGTCCTGATGAAGGGTGTAAACCCAAAACGTCAACTTTCCTGCTCCTCTAATGCTGCCTGGCCTGCTGTGTTCCTCCAGCTCCACACTGTGTTGACTCTGACTCCAGCATCTGCAGTTCTTGCTATCTCCAAGGATAGTTAATCCAATAGTTGGCCCAAATCCAGGGTAATATAAAAATGTCTTAACTATCCACCACATCTAGCTATCTTATCCTCACCCAGTCCTTGGCTATGGACATTAAATAGCTGAATCCTGTCATGCTGTGTCCAGCATTTACAGCCCTATAACCAACAGCACCCCAATGTCTTGGTCCTATCTGACCTCCAATGATTGGAAATTATGTTAAGGATGGAGTAAGACTGAATGCATGTTTGTGCGTGTTTGTGTTCCAGTGTGTGGGTAGAGACGTGTGTACACACACCAGGCAACTGCAGAAATCATGAGACTTAGTACAATGAGAAGCAGATAACTTAGTTGAGTTGGGTGGCTCGAAACAACAGTACATCATATCACTAAGAGAAAGAACACAGAGGTGAAAAGATGTTGGAATCCAGACTGACGAGAGACATAACAATACAGAGAGAGAGATACAGAACAAGAGAAAATGGCATAGCAACGGAAACAGAGAGAAACCACAGTACACATAAAGAAAGACAAACATTTACACCGTAGCCCTGGTTGCTCTGACAACCAAAAATCTTACTGGATCATCTTTGAGTGTGCAAAAAGCCTTCTGCATAGTGTGGGCCTTGAGCCACTTGGAGTTTCTTCTGAATGGACTGAAATGTTCCTCTCTGTGTCCAGTTGAGTGTTCCATTCCAGTGTCAAACCTTTATGTTGGTACCGTTTGTGAAAAGATAGTGGAGTGGTGGTGCCACTTGACTAGCGGTCCTGAGGTCTCCAGTCTTTAAGGACATGGCAGCTGGTAGAACTTAAATTCAGTTATACAATATAGAATTTATATGGACATGTCCATTTACTGCTGCCCATGATGAAGTTTGCTGCCACTATCCTCTTTAACTGTAGGAAACTACCGAACCTAGCTTAGCCTATGGGAGAGAAACGCCACTTCCTGGTCCAACTAGAAGAGTCTCTTCTGATTTACAAGATTTTGGCAACTACACATTAGCAACTAGCTACAGTCTTCATCAAGATGATAAACGTCCATACTGGCCACCAATGCATTGGTGCATTGATAGTATCCCTTTGAACCAGGAAGTCTGGGTTCATGTCTAACCTCTCCAGAGGTGTGCAATA